TTGTTTGGTAAGTCCTTGTTATTCTTGATTAATTTTCGGTAGTTGGATCCTAGGTCTTTAGTTGTTTAGAATAATCAGAACGTTTAATTTTTTTCTTGGTGGTTTATTTCCGCGTCACTACAATACACATCTTATAAAGATAACTGAGCCACACTATTCGGTATAACCAGGCCTATATAAGAGTGAATAACCGTTTATGTATTAAAAAGTGATTCAAAGACGTCTTTAGAATGTCTTGAAAAATATATGTCATATAGACGTTTTTAGGCGGACATTTGAGAGACGTTGGGTTTTGTAATCTACGACGTCTTTGAGTTGCCTTGAACACGTAAGCAGACGTCTAGCAGCAAACGCGATTATAAATGAGAAAAACAAAGAGAGAGTCTGTATAAATTTAGCAAAAAACGACGCAAATTCAAAGCCCCGCACTTAGAACCATCCTTTTCCGATTAAAAAGGTTCCAGGGTAGCGACAAATCCATACAAAAACCAACGAAAATGACCTTTCAAAGCCTACTTGATTAAACTAAAGTTTTTGCTACTTACCCCATTGAAAACTGGAAATTTTCGACAGAAAATGACGCAAATCCAAAGCCCCGCATTTCAGAACAACTTTCTCCTGTGGAAAAGTCCCGGAAAATTGGAAAATTTCAGGAAAAACCGGGACAAAAACGAAAACGCGTCACTCAAAATGGCCGACTGTCAGGCTTTATAAATGATATTCCAAGGCCTACTCGATTGAAACCTGAGTGAAGTTAGCTACAAGCGATGTTGCCACCTAAAAAAAATCATTTCAAATGGGTAATTTAATGAAAAAGCCGTTAAATAATTAATTACTAATGATTTTAAAACTAAAAATTTCCCAAAAAAGACCTTGAAAAGTTGTTTTTTAATAAATTTTTCTCACTTACCCTTCGCCTTTAATTTATGCATTTAAAAGCTTTTTGGCAGAAAATGAAGAAACTGCAAATCCCCGCATTTTTGAACAGTTTTCCCGACTGAGAGAACTTCGAGAAAAACTGGATAAAAACACTCAAAATGGCCGACTGTCAAAAATGCTAAATGATATTTATCACGAAAGGCCTACTTGATTGAAAGGATGTTGACACAATTTCAGTATTTTTGGAAAAAACAGTGATTATAGTGGTAGTAAGACACAGGAGATAAAATAGGATATATTCGCAAAAGCAGCAAATGCGATTATAAATGAGTAAGAGAAAGAGAGAGATAAAGTAGGACACAATTTAAGTGCTTTGTTTGTCTAAAAGTGGCAGAAAAAGACGTAAATTCACTTAGAACCACTTTTTTCCTATTAAAGAGACCCTAGAAAAGCCAGAAATGCGAAGCAAAAAACCAACGAAAATGACATTCCAAAGCCTACTTGAAAAAACTAAAGCTTTCGCTACTTACCCACTTACCCCATTGAAAACTAAAAGTTTTTGACAGAAAATGACGCAAATCCAAAGCCCCACACTTGAAAACCACTTTTCCCGCTGGAAAAATCCCGGAAAATGGAAAATTTGAGGAAAAACCGGGACAAAAACGAAAACGCGTCACTCAAAATGGCCGACTGTCAGGCTTCATGAATGACATTCCAAGGCCTACTCGATTGAAACCTGAGTGAAGTTAGCTACAAGCGGTGTTGCCAAAAATCATTTTAAATGGATAATTTAATGAAAAAGCCCTAGTAATTAATAATTAATTAATAACTAATAATGATTTTAAAACTAAAAATTTCACAATCGGAAAGTTGTTTTTTAATAAATTCTACTCACTTACCCTTCACCCTTGATTTTAGCATTTAAAAGCTGGATTTTTTGGCAGAAAATGAAGAAAATCCAAAGCCCCGAATTTTAAAACAGTTTTTCCGAAATACAGCGGAAAACTCGAGGTAACTGGATAAAAACACTCAACATGGCCAACTCTAACTGTCAAAAGTGGCAAATGACATTTATTACAAAAGGCCTACTTGATTGAAAGCGATGTTGCCACATATAAAATCTCAAACCGAATGTTTTTCCAGATTTTTCCTCATTTTCCCATGAATTTGCAGCCTGGAAAAGTAACAAATTTCCATTTTTAATGTTAATAATTTGATTGTATTTTTGGACAATAACTGTGAATATAAGTGAGTGAGAGGAGGATAAAATAGAATACATTTGCAAAACACAGGAAATACGATTATAAATGAGTAAGACAAAAAGAGAGATTGAGTATGATACAATAACCGTTTACGAACAGACCACTTTTTGACTTAACTTGAAGAAAAAATCTGAACAGTACGAAAAAAATTTATCTTTTTCCTTGTTTTACATGTTATTAGAAAAAGATGGGAATATACTCAGTGCACTGATCGATAAATGGAAATCGAAAACTTCAACATAGGTCAGAAAATGGTCAGTTCATAAGCAGCTAATGTGTAAGTGCTTGGTCTGTCTGAAAGTGGCAGAAAAAGACGTAAATTCAAAGCTCCGCACTGTTTTCGATCAAAAAGGCCCCGGAAAAGCGGATACAAATAAAGTTTTCGTTACTTACCCCATTGAAAAGCGGATATTTTTAGCAGAAAATGAGGGAAATTCAAAGCCTCGCACTTCAAGAAGGTTTTCCCGATCGAAAATGCCCTGGAAAAATGGAAAACTTCAGGAAAAACTGGATAAAAACGAAAACGTGTTACTCAAAATGGCCGACTGTCAAATGATATTGATGGCGACAATGGGTGGTATGAATAAAAACGAAGTACTTGCTACTACTACAAGTATTAGCATGTTCTACGTAGTATTTACTCCAAAACGAAGTAGATACTACATTTCGACACTACCGGAAATAAGTAAATGCTTTGTTTTGAAGTAAATACTACGTAGAACATACTAATACTTGTAGTAGCATGTACTTCGTTTTTATTCATACCACCCATTGCTACATCTCAAATAGAAAAAAATAATAATGATTATAAATATTAAAATTCCGGAAATAAGGCATTGGAAACTAAGGATGATACACATACACTACTACTACTACAGGATAGCCTATCCTCATAAAACCTGTGTGTGGAACAAACCCCCCCTTGTGACGTCATGAGTTTGAACACTAGCTAGAAGCTACGTCCATGCTTCCGGCGAACTACGTTCAATATGACGTAGGTAATGAGTTTCTCGCGAAAGCGTTTGTATTCATGAAATCATAGAAGTAGTTCGTCATGAAAATTCAGTTCAAATTTCAATGAAAATGACATTCCAAGGCCTACTTGATGGTGAGTAATGGCCGTTTTCACTTAAGGATGATACACACTACTACTACAGGATGACCTATATCTCATAAGGCTGTGTGTAAGTTGTATAACAAATCCCCCCATGCCAAATTACCCACTTGTGACGTAGGCAGCATGTTATTTCTCGCCTTGACGTAGACTGTTTAAACAGCTGACGACTTAGTTATGACGTCGGAAATGGTAACACACCAATATGGCGGCGATTACCAAAAACGAGGCCGATAAGCAATCCTGTAGGTGTGTATCATTCTTGGTTTGCACCGATCATTTAACCTATGTAAAAATGTCACTTTCAGCGTTGATTATTGTTAAACCTTCCCTAAAATGATCGGTGCAAACGGCCCTAAGACAAAGGAGATAAAGTACAATTGCGAAAACACAACCCCTGATTTTTCAATGTTTTTCTAAGAAAAGTCTAAATTTTGATCATTACCGGCTCTGGATTAGCTGGATGATTTTCCAAGACGCAATCAAGAGCCGGTAACCAGTCAAATGTTGCCTAAAAGTTTTTCCTACAGGCAGGAAAACTTTCTCTGAAGACTGAAGAGTTTCCTGAAGCCAAATTTTGACTATTACCGGTTGAAAATTAGGACTTTAAAGCAAAAATCTGCCTTGATTGCTTTCAGAGAAGTTTTCCATTGATTCCCGACTTGACAATATTGGTGTAACAATCAAAATTTGGAATCAACAACTTTTGATTTCCTTTAAAAAAATGTATCAGTGATTCAAATGCTGCTAATTATCAAAATTTGTTCCATTTTAGGCTCTTGAAGTTCTTGTAGAAAAAAGAATTTAGAGCCGAGAAAAGTTTAAATTTTGATTAGGTATTACCGGCTGGAAAATTTTCCTGAAATTTTGTGTGGTGTGTCAGAACCCAGTACTAGATTTATTTGTAAAAAGTTAATGATTACAAGACTTTTTCAAAAATATATGGAATTGAACTAATTACTATAGTAGGTCTTGGACGCACAATTTAGACGTCGATCCTGGATTCCGTTTCTCCATTTCTAATTTCAAAATTCTCATTTTGTATCCTTCAGTTGCAAAACTCTTCTTATTGGCCTGCCATCACGATTAACTTAATTTTTTTGCTTGAAACTTTACTTTTCCTTACCTGAAGCAAGTTTTCTAACAGATTATCAATTAATAAGTGGAAACAACAATCTACTTAATAAATGTAGCCATAATCCAATTTTCAACATCGTTTCCGCTTAAATTTAGTTTGTCTCATAAAATATTCCGCAACTGCCTAATATAACATGCCAAGAATAAAATGCAATATAGACAGTATTGCGAATTTTAAATTGAATTTTTCCATATAATCACATATTCCATCCATAGTATATGTCTTATAAAGCTACACCGTCTTTGTATTTTCAAAGCAAAACAATTGTGTATCGTTGTCCAACATTAAAATCCAGTGGTGAAGAGAAATTCAATGCAAACTTCAATCTAGGAAATGTACGGTTTTCGGTAAACAATTAGCATTATTGCATGATCTGTGAGCCTTACAAGTGAAATTATACTCAAATTACCTCTATTAAAGCTGGAGCCTGTGAAAACTAGAAATAATACAATTACGTGGCATATTGTTCCGAACATGTTCGCTGATGGATTACCGAACTCTGTTGTTTCAATAGGTCGATATTGAGAAAAACAATGATTACATCAGAGTTTCCCAGGAAATGTCCATTTCATGTTCTTTTTTAATTTAATATATCTTTCTGGGAAATATTTGATATAGATGACCAAATGTTCATTTTTAAAAATCTTGTAACTTGATTTGAATTTCTAGCATGTTTTATGTCTAAGCCTCAAATATATTCCCTGAAAATTTCATATATTTCAATCCATCCAGGTAGGTAGTACTCAGATAATTTTTTGGAAGTTTTCTACAAGTCTCACCAACAAATCAATATAGCTTTTTTGAATGGTACCTAAGTATACTAAATCATCTGCAGAGATTTTTTTTCCAATTTTACCTACAAAATTCTTCTAGAATTAAATAAAAATATCTATACAATGATAGTTGAACAAAAATTATATTAATCTTATAATAAAATATAAAGGTAAAATAAACTTAAACTAATACTCGATAGGATTCTGTCCAATGATTTCCCTTTCAAGATCATCTTCATTTATAATTTCACCCAATTTGTTAAGCAAAGGATCTTCTTCGCAAGCTTCATGTCTCAAAATTCTTAAACTTCTCAATCCTCGACTTTGTAGTTGGTCAGATTCGCATCGCACCAAACAATCATTTCCATAAGTTTTTCCATTGCTGGCACAAACTGGAGAATAAATTCTGGGACAAACGCACAACGGGACACCGTCTTTATCGATGATGGTACGAAAACCATAGACTCTTGTCAAACCCAGGGCCAAAAGAATTAATAAAACCTTCATTTTTAGTTGGCAATTTTAGTACAAATAAACCTATTTTGTTGTCTGACAAACTGAGGTAAATTTGTTATCTTTACGATTGAATGATTATAAATTTGCCTTGTTGTTATCTGGGGGATTTTGTATAAAAAACACGTCATGATTCAGTGGCATTTGTTTGTAATTACCCGATATCATAATCAAATAAACCCCAATAAATTATTTGACGATATATATTTTTTTAATATTTATTATGAATCATTAAAACAAAAAATAAGTTGGGAAAAATTGCTTTTCAAGGCTTAAAAGAGCTTCTAAGGCCTGTAAGCAATATATAATTTCAAAGTCAAAAGACTAGAAACTCTAAGATTAATTTAAGATTGAAAACTCTCAAGAAACTTCTGCAAAATCGTGAGAGAGATACTGGAAATGATACAAAATTGGTTTGGATTTTTAGTTAATATTTCTTTATTACAAAAGATTACGCTTCAACAGTTTCCATGTGACTGTCTTCATCAATACTTCCATTAGCCTCTACAGTATAATGTACCACGTAACTTTCCTCATCCCCATCATCAATTTGCACCACGTGAGTTTCTTCAACCATTGCCTCATCTTCGCCAGATTCTTCAACAGTTTCACTTTCTTCCATCTCCTTTAAAGCTCGTTCTTTAAAAAAGTTTTTCGCTATTATATTAAAAATCCACAAACAGCTGAAAATAGTTACCATCATCAGCATAGCCGTGAAACTCCAACAAATGATCCTTCAAAGCATGAGACCTGCCATATTCGGCCCCACATAGGTTACAATTAAATTTCAAACTGTGTTCTTTTTTGTGGCTCAGCATATGAGCTTTGATGGCGTATAAAGACGAAAAAGGCCGGCTGCATTCGGTACACGAAAACGGTTTTGTGTGACTACAAATTAAAATCTTAATATTCTATAAACTAAATAAAGTTTGTTACCAATTTTTATGTCCAGCTAATTGTACGGCCGTCTTGAAAGTTTTCGGGCAAAAGGGGCACTTGTAATTGCGATCCTTGAAATGCGTTTTCAGGTGATGGCTGCAAACGCTTTGAGATTTGAATTGTTTGCCGCAATAGTGGCACGTGTAGGGACGAACCCCCGTGTGAGTGCGCATGTGCAAAGTTAAGCAATATTTTACTCTGAAGGCTTTGCCGCATATATCGCACACGTGCGGTTTTTCACCAGTATGAATTCTTTCATGTTTTACCTAAAAATAAATTAATATAAAAATTTATACTTTTATCTCAGGAACTATAAGTGCAAATGAGCTGAAATTTCCAGGGATTGTAGTCCTTTGAAAGGGATAAAATTCAGTGAAAGATTCAGCTTTCTATGTAATAGAAAAAAAGTTACGAGCTTTGAAAATTTTCCGAAAAAATCATAAGGAGGGTACCTTCTTAATAAAAATGATGAAAGGACCCCACACACATCTTATGGGTTTTTGGCTCGCGGTCAAATTTGATAAAATTTTAGTATGTTGTAGATTTCAACCTCCTGATGAAAAGTTATCATTGGCCCAACTTGATCCTATGACTAGTTTCAGAGATACAGGGTCGTAAAAAAATTCTCATCTCAACTACTAATATTCCATTTACCCCCAAAATATGCATTTCTAATTATTATGAAAAATGTCTTTATACAGGGTGGTAAAATAATTATGCGATATACAAATATGTTAGTTAAAAGGTTATATTAGGATTTTATTTTGTATTTTATATTTTCCCCTTATGTGCACAACTTGGGCCCGAAGGTCTGAAAACAGGAAAAATTCAGCTCTTGACCAATCAAAACTGCTCTATCATGTGTATGCCACTTGTTGGAACAAAGCCATTGACTTGAACGTGGCCATTAAGGCTTTATTAGATTTGAATGAATATACAGGGTGTCCTACGAGGTTTTTCCCAAATGATAACTTCGGAACGCATCATCCTATGTTCCACTATATATTTTTTATCATTTTCTTTAACAAAGCCTTAACAAATATAGCATTGCCGATCTTGTAATTTAATTTTCTAACCTAAAATGCCATATAATATACCATGAGTTACATTTAGGATTCGAAAGTTGACGTCACTTGACTGAAATTGAAGTGAAAGTGGTGAAATTGAATGACAATTGGTAGAAGCAGCATAAAAAGTTACCCACATCCTCAAAATTTCAATTATATTGGATCACGAGTTCCGAAGTTATTACCTGGGAGAAACTTCGTGGGACACCCTGTAAATAAAGCAGGCCTGAATTTGACCGGCGAGTTAAAATGGGCCAGTCAGTGGTAACCAATAAATCATTAACTATCTATCTATCTATAAAGAACTGTAAGAATAGATAACCAACAAAGCTGGGCAAAATACTTTCAAAAAGTATGTGAATCATGGGCGCCGCCAGGATTAGTTTCAGGAAGGTGCATACGGGCAGTGGCGGCGCGTGGATTGTTATATTGGTTCCAATTACTAATTTGATAAGGTGAATGCCCAACGCAGGAGTTGCCGGATTTTTCCGGGTGCCACGTCCAAAAACGGTTATTTTGACTTCACAGACGTCATTTTTTTGGTTACTTTTTTATCCGCGTGTTCCGTGAGCGTACGAAAAAGTACTTTTTTGTACGCTCACGGCCGGACAAAAAAGTGACGTCACAGAATTTTCCTAGATTTCATCGCTTTGAACACCTTTTGCGGAAAAAATAGCATGTTTTATTAGGAGAAAAGCACTTTTTGTGGCTCGTCTAAAATTGTCTGCCTCACTACGTTCGGCCGTCAAACATTTAGTCTTACCACAAAAAGTATCACTTTTACTCCTAATAAAACAATATACTATTAGACCGTCAGATAGTGACAGATTTAGGTGCCCCATTTTCGCATATAAGCCTCGAAGAGGGTTGAAAAGTACTTCGATGTTGAGTAGAATGAAGTAAAATTCACGAGTCGCCCCTGGGGATAAAATATGGAAAATTCGGTCATCGTCACTTCCCCGGAAAACATATTGGCTTGAGTGGCGGGAATGGATAAGTACATTTTAAATTCGGAAAATTTGACCGATATTACGCGAACAAAAAAAAATCGGTCAAATTTTCCGACCTTAAAATGTACTTATCCAATCCATTCCCACTACTCAAGCCAATATGTTTTTCGAGGTAGTGACAGTGACGGTGGACGTTTTCATACTTCCAATAGGCTTCTGTGCAAAAATCGGTCCAACTTTCGATTTTTTCTTACAAGATAAAGCCCTTTTTTCAACCCTTCAGCCACCTGCAGCACTCAAGCCTTTGGTTTTCCGAAGCTAGGTTTTTAATAATTAATCATTTAGTGAACACGGCTTGCATGGAAATATGAGCAACTGACACCTTTTATTTCGATTAAGGAAAATCGAATTTTCCATATTTTATCCCCAGGGGCGACTCGTGAATTTCACTCCATTCTACTCAACATCGAAGTATTTTTCAACTCTCTTCGAGGCTTGTAGAGGTGGGAAACTATCGATAGTAACTATCGTAACTATATATATATAGTTTGCTACACTATCGAACTATCGATAGTTCTACTTGGATAATCGATAGCAGTTCTCCTGTCTTTTCTTATGTCAGCAATGTCAAGTCTCAAGAAATATCATACATTTCATTTTTTATTAAGGCTCCTAAAGTTAATAGGTTGTCTGGTAATGGGTAACTTGATGACGTCATCTGGTCTGGGGTGCCTTATGGAAATTTGGAATTATCTTGAGGCACCATTTCTCAAACAACCTTATTGATGTTTTTTATTTTGGCTTTGATGGTATGGTAGTTGAAATCAAAATTAAAAAAAGATGAAGATTAGTAGTTATGTGTCCTGTTATCATTAGTTAACAACAACCTACACAACTCAACGACACTGTATTTCACTTCATAGTGGTGTTTATTTCTGTTCTCTGTTCTTCACTTCCAGTTTGGAGAGAAAAAGAACGTGTGTAATTAAATATATTGTTATTCACAATATTAACTTTCATGTATTGTAGGGCGTAGGCCGTAGTGGTAGGGCGTAGGTCGTAGGGTTAGGGCCTTGATCTTAGACCTTCATGTGCACACTGCTGTTGGAGTTCATTAACATTACCATTTTGGCTTGCCATGACCTGATAATTGCTGAAACCCCAAATACAAAATGACCAAAATGGGTCCAAAACGTATACCCTTTTTTTATCGATAGTTATATCGATACATCGATAGTTTTTAGTCGTTACTATCGATATATCGATAGTTAGATTCTTCGATAGTTTCCCACCTCTAGAGGCTTGTATGCGAAAATGGGGCACCTAAATCTGTCTGTAGTGATTAACCTTGGTTTCCACCAACCATTTTAAGGGAGCCCTAACGATATGTATTCCCTAAAATGACATTTTTACATGGAGAAATGTCAGTTTAAGGCATACCTATCGTTAGGGCTTCCCTAAATTAGTTGGTGGAAATGGCCATTATGGCCATTATGGCTGTCGAGTACTATTTTGGTTCAAAATCAACGTGCTTTTTTCTATTTACTATGGTCCAAAAAGGAAACAGTTCACTTAATGATTATTTTTAAATGTAAATTGAATTATACATAAATAATTTTCTAACAAACCTAATAATTGTATATCACAATTATTTTATCGTCCTGTATAAAAACACAGCTTAAAAATATGAAAACAGGGTTCCCTTTTTCATTTATTGTTCCCAAACAGCCTAATATTTAATAATAAGGAGGCATATTTTTGAGGTAAATGGAATATTACTAGTTGAGACGAGATTTTTTTTTACAACCCTGTATCTCTGGAACTAGTCATAGGATCAACTTGATACGATCAAGTTGGGCCAATGATAAACTTTTCATCAGGAGGTTGAAATCTACAACATACTAAAATTTTATCAAATTTGACCCCGAGCCAAAAACCCATAAGATGTGTGCAATTTTTTTTTTTGTTGAGATTTTGTGTCCTACTGGTCCCTCGTGATACCCTGAACTCCATAAACTAAATTATTCTCAGATTTGAAGCCGAAATCTATGAAAAAAGGCACTCAGAAAAATTGAAAAATTGATAAATCACCCCAATTGCTTAACACGATTTTATCTCAGGAACTATACGTGTAAATGAGCTGAAATTTTCAGGGATTGTAGTAGAAAGGGATAAAATTCAGTGAAAGATTCAGCTTTCTATCTATAATAGAAAAAAAGTTACGACCTTTGAAAGTTTTCCGAAAAAATCATAATGATGAAATTTCAAATTTCAGGACCTACTGACACATAGGATCAGTTCACCATGTTAATATTCTTCTTATGTCTCTAGTAAGTTGGTCCAATCTGTATATTAGTTACCTTTTCGTGAGCTCTCGAAAATCTCCTTCCGCAATAAGAACAAACAAACGACCGAGGTTGACATTCGTTATTGATGTGTTTTTCCAAACTTAAAAAGTTTATAAATGATTTTTTGCAATACGAACAAGTAAACTTTTTGGCAGTCGAATGAGCTTTGCTGTGATGCACCAAACTCTCTCTAGAATCTAGAGTCTTGTTGCAAACTACGCAAATAAATTGGTCTTCATCTTCGTGCGATTTCATGTGGATTTCCTTGTATTGTTTTTCGTATGTCCTTTTGCACACTTCGCATTGAAACTGTTTTTCTGCGTCCTCAAAAGGCGGACTTTCTTCGGTTTCAATTGCATCGTGTACTTTCGAGTGGAGCTTCAATTGTTTGTAAGTGGGGAATTTGGTTTTACAAACTGTGCAAATGTGGAGGGACATTGTTATTGTTTTTGGTTGCGTTGTACCTGGAATTTTGAAAATCAAATACCCAATTGTTTTAATTAATAATCTGTTACCTGAATCATCTCCAGTTAAATGTATTTTCATGTGCTTCTGAAGCTCGGGTAAAGTCAAATAAGTCGAGCAACAAAATGCACATTGGTACTGAATACGAGGTTCTTTTTTCTTTTTTTGAGCCACTTTTGACTCATCCGTATCTGTCAGTTTTTGGCATTGGTGTTTTTCAAAATGAGTCAAATTTGGAAATTGTAATTTGCAATTTTGGCAATTAAAAATCTCGATGATTTGTTTTTTGTTTAGATCTTTGCTGTTTTCTATTTGGCTAAGTTTCCAAAGTCTTCCTACAACAATTAATGACTATATAAGCCAAATGAGAAATTTTGTCTTTCTCACCGTTATCTGAAATATACTTCTCAATCGAAAACGCCTTATTTTTTTCGCATTGAGATGTTTGCGAATCAGTTTCTTCTTCTTGAAAATTTTCTTCTGGTTCATCAAATGTATTGTGATCAGGCAAATAATCTTGTTGTTCAGGTTCCTCTTCTGTTTCTATCGTTTCCACAAGTACCTCTTCGTCTTGGTGGTACTGGTTCAAGTGATCTTCGATGGAATCGAAAGTCATTTTGCACATTTCGCACGAGTATATCATATCGCACGAGTATGTAACATCTGCGGCGTCTTCTGTTTCTGTTGTATTATTTTCATCTAGAATTTTTTTTTTTAAATTAAGGCCTGCTTCATTAATTTTTGGTAAACTGTCTACAAAACAAATTTACTTATTGGTCGGCCAATAACTATGGAATATACCTAAGTAGTGTATCAAAAGATGAATAAACCAGGCCTTAAAAGAGTGTTCTAATCAGGGTTAAAATAAGTCACAAAATGATATATTTTGGGAAGGAAATGCCTATTTATGCAACAAGTATGTAAAGTGAGTACAGCAATCACATACGTGAAAAAAGAGCCTTTACACACTTGTTGCATATGCACCTTTTTTTTATACTACTTTACGCCCTATAAGTAACTGAACTTAGGGTGTAAAGTATTGGTGGTATTTATACATTTTTGCAAAGAAACTAATACAATAACAATGTATTGAACTTTTTGAGCAATTTTTACTAGATTTACACTAGTGTGTAATGAAAAGTAAATTGCTTTACGCACTAGAGCGGGAAATATAATTTTCAGTAATAGCTTAAAGTAAATAGGTAGGTACTTACTTTACGCGCGTTATACTGGACATTTTTATTTATTAATATTAATATGTAATAACATAATTATTTATACTTTATAAAATAAAACTAACAGCCGGTTTATTAACCTTTTGATATGCAATTTGACGGATTGAAGTGGATTCCGAGGGATTGAAGTGGATTTCGAGGGATTCTGCGTTCAAAATAATTCTAAAAATTTACAAGAAATTTTGTGGAATTCCTCATTTCCTCAAGGAATTCCATTGGATTCCAGTAGTGATCGACTACCACAGTCATCTCTTAAAGGTGATTAGTTAGTACAATCTGAGGTTAGTACCTACCTTAGTACTTTATGAATTAACGATTGTGTCTTTTTTTTCCCCAAAATCGGTACGGTTTTGCGATTAACTACCGCATTTATCTCTTGACAAATGATTAGTACTTTATGTAATAATATTGTGTCTTATTTTTTCCAAAATCGGTACGGTTTTAGGGTACTTTATGGCCCTAAGGAGTTGAACATATGAAAGAATTTGCTTCCAGTACATTTCGTGGGATTCCGTTAAAAAGTGGGATTCTGGTGTAGGTATACATTTTTCAAGGTTTAGCCCTCGTGCAAGCAAACTGTAGTCCGATTGGTCGGCCACTTACCCGCCAACCAATAAAATTATAGAACGGTAAATTCATCTTGCAGATAGTTACCAGCAAGTTTATCTGAAGATGAATAAACCGGGGGCCTTGAACATAAATTTATTTATTCAAAAATTTTGATAGAAATTCGACAAACCATTCCAATGCCTAATGAAAGATCAAATGATGTACAAATTAGAGGAATTCAAAAAGAAATCCAAAGAAATCTAAGACAATCAGGGGAAATCATAAGGAAATCGGAGGAAATTAAGAGAAATTATAAGGATCTCAGGGAAAACCTTAAAAAAAATCATGGGAAATCTCAAGGAAATCAGTTGATCTTTAGATCTAACGCATGCGCAGTTTTTCAAAAATCTTTATAGTTTCAGGTTATGTTCTAATGTACTACAATCAAATTAAGGAAGTCAAAAAAAAAATCCAAGGAATTCTAAAGCAATCAGGGGAAATCATAAGGAAATCAAAGGAAATCAAGGAAAATTATTAGGATCTCGGGAAAAACCTTAAGGAAATTATGGGAGATTTTAAGGAAATCAGTCAATCTTTAGATCTAACGCACGCGCAGTTCTCAAAAATCTTTTTAATTTGAGATTATAATCTAATGTACAGGGTGATCTATATATATATAAATCAAAGTTCACGGGGTATCCGGATATGCGCTCTAAAACCACTTATCCGATTACGATGAAACTTTGGTAGGTTATTATGGCCATCCCAAGGAAGGTTTATGGATAGGTTACGCATCTCGGAAAAAGAAATTAATTTTGAATTAATTATTAATTTAATTGTAAACAAACTCATTCACATTACATAACAACATAACCCAACTTTTTTTGACAGCATGAAATAACGTTGACATATTTCATTTATTTAGGCTTGCATTCAACCGACGTAACTTTATTATACCACGTATCTTTATATAAGGTGAATTCGATTGACCCAGATTAGATCGATTTGGGTTCAATTTAAGTGAACTTCTTCTGATCTAGATCATTTTTTTGTTGATGAGGGTGCACTGATCCAGCTTGAATCGAACACAGTGTGGTTCATTTAAATTGAATCAGATCGATCTAATCCGGTCAATCGAATCGGCTATAGAGGAGAGTGATATAGGCTATTTTTTATCCCGAAAAAAAAAGTTCGGTTGCGTAAAACTCTGATACACTGGAACGCTTATAAACAGCCCGGGGCGCTCTAGAGCAGCTCTGGAGTGCTTAAAATGCGTCACTGAACTCACTGGCAAGCGACTCTGATATCGGATTAAAAAAAAAAAATTAAATAGAAAATCAACAACAAAATTTGAAAAGAAGTGTATTATTTCAAAATGTATTTACCGCTGGCAACGCAGCGGGTCATTAGCTAGTCTATTATAAATGTCACCCCCTGCTAACTTTCTCATTTGACCTTTTTGACAGAAGTGTCAAATACAAAAGTTTTAAGAAATTTTCAAAAGCTTTCAACTTAGTCAGTTTAAGGCATACAGGGTGCGTCAAAAAAGTGCAGCAGTGTGAAGTTACATTTTTTTAAATAGAACACCCTGTATATTGTGCGCTTATTTGTTAGTTCCTTTCAACCTGATTTCAACGAGATACGGTTTGATATGTTTATCTCTCGGTTTATCTTCAATAGTTATAGGAAAAAAAGCGAAAATTGGTCTCTCATGTTATTTTTAAAAAAATAATAATGTTAACTTTAGATATCTGGATTTATCATAATATTTCACCTTGTATATTAATGAATGAAATTTGAACATTAAACTGTTCATAAAAGAAATTCTCTAAAGCTTAAATGGTATAATTTTTCTTTTTTCAATATGAAACCTTGAAAGGGGTTTTTATGTTTTTCCCTATAACTATTGAAGATAGACATATCAAACCGTATATCGTTGAAATAGATTAAAAGGGAGTAACAAATAAGCGCACAATAAACAGGGTGCTCCATTTAAAAAAATATAACTTCACGCTGCTGCACTTTTTTGACACACCCTGTATGCCTGAAATTGACTTAGTTAAAAACTTTCGACAATTTCTTGAAACTTTTGTATTTGACACTTTTGTCAAAAATGTCAAATGAAAAAGTTAGAAGGGGGTGACATTTATAATAGATCACCCTGTTATGTTCAAATTAGAGGAAATCAAAAAGAAATCCAAGGAAATCTGACGCAATCAGGCAAGATCATAAGGAAATCAAAAATAATTCAAGGGAAATTACAATTAGGATATCGGGGAAAACCGAGGAGAAAACCTTAGGAAAATCGTGGGAAATCTTGAGGAAATCAGTCAATCTTTAGATTCGACGCATGCGCAGTTTTAAAAAATCTTCATAATTTGAGGTTATGTTATCATGGAAACTCTTGGGCAATGTTACTGTTAATTAGAAGAAATCATGAGAAATTATGGGAAATCATCCACGATTTTCCCTAAAACCGCAATCACTGGAACTCTCTGTAACGGATAAGGATCGTTATCCCTATCGCTATCGGCACTTGCTGTCTTCTTCTTTCTTGTCGAAACCAATAGAGAGGAGACGTCAATAGAGATAGGGAATAGCTATTTATACAATAAGTTACGAAATGAGCGTCTTTTAGGCACGCGACGTGAAAATTGTCCAACGAGGCAAAGCCGAGTTGGACAACACGTCGAGTGACTAAAAGACATCGTTTCGTAACGTATTGTATACAAGATTTTTTCTACTGGCATTTTATAATAAAAAAACACAATTTTATTTCATGTGAATAAGTCGATTACACCCAAAATCTTTGTTACCTGCTTTTACTTGACACCTGACACTTTTCATGCGATTTTCTTTTCAAAATTCGACATCAATAATTAAAATCCTAGAAAGTAGGTAATAACACAAACTTCTGTTTTGAGTAACCCAAACGTTCAATTCAGTAATTCCATTTTCAATATTCATAATAAATACAAAACAAAATTCAAATATGTGTTTAGTGTGTTTTTTATTTCTGAATAATGAATGACACTTTTAGGCACTAGTGCTTAAAAATTACTTTTACGCACTCATAAGTCACTTTTACGCATTCAAAAGTCACTTTTACGCACTGAGTGCCTAAAAGTAACTTTCACGCACTCAGTGCCTAAAAGAATGTCGTTTCAAAACTGAAATGACAATCGAAAAGTTGCTATTATGAAACGTCAGTAGAAAAAATATTTTTATTCGTTACAGAGTTCCAAAAACAAACAAAAAAAGCACAAAAACTGACTTGCGGTTTACCCCTAATCTCTAATAAATGATTATTTTCTAAGAAATTCATAATTGAAAATCATTCCAAATTTTCAGAAACGATTTTAATTGGCTTACGTCACAACTCAGTTAAATGTTGCCAAATCAATCTCCATAATTGTACATACATTTATCTACGCCAGTGAGTTAAGAAGCTCTTAACTCACGCATTTCGAGTGGGTTAAAAGCTTCTTAACTCACGCATTTTCATTACCGCACTCTTTCTTAGGTTTTTGAAACTATAGTGACATTAATATTATTTACTATCAAATTGATATGAAACCATGCATGATGTTATCGTGTTTTCATGGTAATTTGGTCAAGTTTATATTGTTATTTGAACAAAAAAGATGCTTGTGTGGTTACACAACTCGTGCTACACACTCGTTGTTCAACTTCCACACGCGTATCTTAATGATGCGATGCTGTTAACTCACTTGTATCGTGAATATCTATTATTATATTGAATATGATAAGAAATAAATAAAATAAATTGCAGTAGACAAAAAGTAATGTTAACGTTTTAGTACAAATATTTGATTTTTGTACTTATTACGTGACTGCGCAAAATTCTGCCATTCGAACATTTGACGACACCGCCATTCACCATGTAATGACGTCACAAAAAAATAGATTTCAAAAATGTTCTATTATATTATCTTTCAAACAAGAATCCCTTTGCCTTTGAACAAGAACACCGCATAGCCTGAATCGCAAACAATCCATCTAGGTCTGCGGGTGACGTCACGACTATCAGCTGCTGATAATGGTGACGTCACTCGCAGACCGGACGCCGAATCGAGAATTGACGAAGATACGCCTTATTAGGATGAGCAATCCTGTTAGTTTACGATTCTTGACCTTCGAATGCTTCAGAAAAATACTTCCAAGGAATCATAGAGCGACTTTAAGCATTCAGAATCTAATAATGTATGCTTCACTATTGAATAAAACAACCCGACCGACAGTAAATCTGTAGCTCAAAAGTTAAAAAACCACTCTGTATATGTACAGAGTGTTTGGAGTAAATTTAATTATTTTTTCAATTCAAATATAGGTAAATAGCCTCTACTAAAATCAAATAATTTTAGCTCAAATACACTTCCAGTTAATTCTAAAGTAAACGCACCCCAAAGCTAAACAATGCAATACATGGTTGAACTAATGGATCATAGATGGCGCCACTTATATCAACTCAATGACACCGAGTGGGTTTACACTGCTCTTTTTTTTTCAATTAAGAATTGGTCCAGTTTCCAGGAATTAAAAACAAAATCATTGTAAATGATACATATTTAATCTTTTTTTAAAAAGAATAAAATTGAAAGGGGGTTTTAAATTCTTACCAGTAACAACACCTCCATTGCCCTCTATTTTAACTTGTAATAAATTATCAAATTCTGATCCTGATTTCTGCTTCATCGTCTTTCTAGAGACTCGAGCATTATCTCTATTATTTACACACTGTTCCAAGTGTTTAGGCAATTCCATTATCTCGCACCTTACGTTACAAGAAGGGCACGACATATTATCGAGATTCATTTGAATGTGCTCTTTTAGGGCGGAATGAGTATCGAACGTACCCTCACAGCACAAGGGACACTTCAAGGGCTTCATCGATCCCTACAATTTTCATTTAATTAATTTGCGCTCCAAAAACAAAAATACGTTTGAATATTTGAATTTGAAAAAGGGTACAACTTCACACCGGTTTTCAACTTTACGCCACACTCACACCACAAGAAGTTGGAATAAAATATGGCGAGGTGCTTGATTGTCAAATAATTAAAAGAAGAAAAAAGAGGTCGCTCTAGTCGGATATTTGCGGTGTTGCCAGCTGTATTGGATAACATCTACAGATGTAGGTAGTCATTTTTCCACGTGATCACTTTTCTGTCAAAAGAAAAAAGAGGTTGGTTCTCAACGTCATATATTTATTTTAGTACCATTATTGGAACCGTAAAAAGTGTTCTTTTCAGTTTTCCGTACGATTTTTACAATTTCAATTGATTTTATCGTACCATGGCCGATGAAGTGAACGAAAACGGACACCCGGAAAACGGCGACGTACCGGAAATCGAGCTCATCATACGGGTAAGTTTTCTTCTTTTTTTCACATACTTACAGGGCGTGACTATTTAAAGTACCACCAAAAAAAAAACAGTACCCGTTGCAATGGGTTGGCCTCAATACATTTTGCCAATAATTCAAGAATCTTTTATACAATGAAATGGGTGGCCTTGAAATCCAAACACAAATATTACGAAAATCTATTTTTATTCATGATGATCATTATTTATTCTTGGAGATTGGCATTTAAATTAGGGCTTGTTTACACTGGAATCTAAGGAAAAAATCAACTCTTAATGTAGAAGAAAGAGAGAGTAGATTGGCCTTTATTTATTAATTAGGGCTTGTTCACACTCACACTGGAATCTGTGATAAAATCAACCTAGTGTAAAAAGAGTAGATTGACATTTAGCTAGGGCCTGTTCACATTGAAATTGAAATAGATTTGCATTTGACAAGTCAGTTTCCTGTATACCTATAATGAAATATGTGAAAAAATCAACTTAAAGAACAGAGAGTACCTAGATTGGCATTTAATTATGGCCTGTTCACAATAGGGTCTGTGAAAAAATCAACTCTATTTAGAACAGAGAGTAGATTTATATTTATTTTAATTAGGGCATCATCACACTTTACACTAAAATCTGTGAAAAAAACAACCAAATGTAAAAAAGTAAATTGGCATTTGATTAGGGCCTGTTCACAATGAAAAAATCAATTCGATGTAGAACAGGCAGTAAGTTGATATTTATTTATTAATTAGGGCCTGTTCACACTGACACTAAAATCTGGAAAAAAAAACAATCAAATGTAAAAGAGTAAATTGGCATTTAATTAGGGCCTGTGCAGAATGAAAAAATCAACTCAGTATAGCACATAGAGTTTTGACATTTAATTAAGGGCTGTTCACAGTGAAATCCTTCAGAAAATCGGGCGGGTATTATAAAACTACTTTGACAGTTAACTTGAAGTTAACTTTTTGAATTACATGTAATTCCAGAAGTTAACTTTAAGTTAACTTTCAAAGTAGTTTTATAATAACCGTCCTTAGTAGGTGCGTGAGTAAATGAATAAATTGGAATTTGATTAGGGCCTGTTCACACAGACATCAATAAAAAAAAAACTATTGGAGAAAAGTAGATTTGCATTTAATTAGGGCGTGTTTACTTTTGTTTCATGTCACCAACATCAAAAATTGTCACATTTTATTTTAAAATATAAAAGTTGGCCAACTTTTAAATAAAGTCAGGTTATAATTATTGGCATTCAATGAAGGCCTGTTCACAATGGAACCTGTAAAAATGTACCTTATAAAGAAGAAAGAGTAAAGGAGAAATGGAATTTATTTAAAAATCAACTTGATGTAGAATAGAGAGTAAATTGGAATTTATTAGGGTCTGTTTACAGTCACACTGAAAACAACATAATGTGAAAGAGAGTAAATGCAAATGTAATTAAGGTCTGTTCACACTAGAGTCTAGAATCAATGAAAAAATGACCTAATGTAGAAAGTAGATTTGCATTTAATTAGGGCCTGTTCGCATTTGTTTCATGTCACCAACATCAAGAAATGTCACATTTTATTCAATTTTATTTTAAAATATAAAACTTTCAAATAAAGTCAGGTCTGCTAGAACAAATTTATAATTGGCATTCAATTTCAATGAGGGCCTGTTCACAATTAAATCTGTGAAAAAATCTTCTTTATAAAGAAGAGAAGAAAGAGTGAAGGTTCACTTTGGAATCTATTGAAAAATCATATAGAATAGAAAGAACATAATATTGGTATTTATTAGGGCCTGTTCACAGTCAGATTGAAATCAACATGATGTGGTAGAGAGTATATTCGAATTTAATTGAGGTCTGTTCACACTGAAATCAATAATAAAAAAAAAAACTAACAGGGAAGAGTAGATTTGCATTTAATTAGGGTCTGTTTACATTTATTCCATGCCACAAACATCAAAAATTGTTACTTTTTATTTTATTTCATTTTATTTTAAAATATAGAAGTTGGCCAACTTTCACAATGAAATCTGTAAAAAAATCTACTTTATAAAAAAGAAAGAGTAAAGGTTCACTTTGGAGTGTTGAAAAATCAACTTTTGACAGAGTTTTATAGACATACATGATCAGAATAGGATCCTCGAGTGGCGCCATCTGTTAATGATTCTCTTAAATAATCATCAGTGACGTCAGAAGTGGGACTAAATCAATCGTTTATTAAGTAATTTTGTTAATCAACATAAACCTTTGATTGTGCCACACAAAAACAATATCATATCGACATTAACGCAATCTAAGGTTTACTAACAAGGACTTAAAATGATTGATCAAGCCGCGCTTTAATGGCATTCAATTAGGGCCTGTTCACACTGAATTCTGTGAAAAAAAAATCAGCCTAATGTAAAAAGAAACTATATATTGGCTTCTAATTAGGGTCTGTCGAGGGGTTTTTCACCTAACAAAATTTGTACACTGATTAACAGTACTAACATCTATTGCCAACTATTTCCATGTATTAACAAAATATTTCCCCATATTGCCAGGTATTTTGCTAGTATTATCACATATTACCAGGTATTGCCAAGCTATTGAAAGACTAAAATGAAATATTTGTCTTGCCAGAATTCTAAGTATTGACATATCCACAGGTATTTACATGTTATTAATGGGTATCAACCAATGACATTAACATATTGCCTAGATATCTACAAGTATTGACATATATTACCTACATAATCAACAAGTAGGTATTGACATAGTATTTACCTGGTATTGACGTATATTAACCAGTGATTTGTACACGTGAAAAACCCCTCGGGTTCATACTGAAATCTGTGAAAAAATTATCCCAATGTAGATTAGAATACAAAGCAGATTGGCCGCTGAGAAATTGGCCTAATGTAGAACAGAAAGTAGATTTATTGGCTTGCCATTTAATTAGGGCATGTTCACACTGAAATCAATCTAATGTAGACCCAGTGACAAAGAATACCAATGCATATTTTTAAAATGTTATTTCAAATTAAAGAGCAATGGACTTTCGCTTTTTTAATAGTTTTACAGGCCAAGTTTAAACTGTGTTTATTCAACTTAATTATTGCGTAATTACATTAAAGAAATGATGTAAAAAAAAAATTAATTATCATCCTCAAAACAGTAATTTCACATACATTAGTCTAGTGCAAAATATGCATAATATGGTTTATTTATTTACATGCCATCATCATTTTCCAAGTTAGAATAAATTTAAAAATAAATTGTGTTTACCCTTACCTGTGGCAATTTTTATCTTGCCTGATTGCTTAATTGTTTCGAGTAGGTACACATTAGTTAAAGGTGGGACAAGCTTTTTAAATGGGGAATTGTTGTTACTATGTACAATTTACATTCTGGTAAATATTGAAGAAAGCCATTGTAAGTGGGATACAACAGAAGATCAATTGTATTTAAATTTTGGATACTTATTTGTATTGTCCAAAGTAAAATTATTTGTTTCATCTTATAATAATTACCTACATTAACTATTCCAACAAAGTTATTTCAACATTATCGCCATTCTTTTGATGCTTAGATGACTCATTCGTACTTATTTATTAATCAATAAGTCTACAATTGACTTAAAAGTACATAGCCTTGACATGTTAAAGCAATTTATTGTTAGTTTTGTGGTTTATGCCCAGGATTATTGTTTTGTTGTATAAAGAGTTTTTTATATTTATCAATTAATGGCATCACAATTATTGTTAGCTAAATTGGGTTAATTGTATGCTGAATGTGGGTTATCAATGTGGATATTTTGTTTAGTTGTTTGTCTTAGAACCAAACCACACACACACAATTACAAACGACCGACGTTCTGAAACTATAAGTCCAAATGAGTTGAAATTTTCAGGGATTGTAGTCCTTTACTTACTAGGATAAAAATCGCTTAAAATTTCAGCTTTCTATTCTGGACTCCCCAATCCCCATATACTAAAATATTCTGAGATTTGAAGTCAACATCTATGAGAAAAGGCACTCAGAAAAATTGAAAATTGATATCTACCCTAAATTGCTTAACACGTTTTTTTTTTCCGAAACTATAAGTCCAAATGATCTGATATTTTCAGGGATTGTAGTCCTTTACTGGGAAAAGGATCGCCGAAAATTTCAGCTTTCTATCTATAATAGAAAAAAAGTTATGATTTTTTAAAGTTTTTAAAAATCCAAATCATAAGGTAGGTAGGTACCTTCGTACTGAAATGATTAAGTTTCAATTTTTTTTATGATGAGATTTTGTGTTTAAATGATCATTCTGGATCCTCCAAACCCCATACACTAAACTATTCTGAGATTTGAAGACGAAATCTATGAGAAAAGGCACTCAGAAAGTTTGAAAATTGATTTATTCACCCTAAATTGTTCAACATGATTTTATTTTTACAAATCTAAACAATAACCAGAGGTATTTGAACAACCTTTAATAATTAATTATTTAATAACAATTACATAAAATATCAGCCTTTTGTGGATCAAATAGAAATTCTATTATTACTGTCAAAGAATGCATCACTTTCATCACAATCGCGAAACTTTCACTCCAAAAATGGTCAAACTACCCAAAGACATTTACCGTATATTTGCCAATTCAATTTGAAAATCCTCAACGACCACAATAATCATGCAATTTATTGCATTATTTAAACGTTTTGAATGCCATTAACACAGATATTGATGATTTATAATTGTAAATTGATCCGGTGGTCTATATTTTAAATTTATGGGGAAATTTTACTTTTTGATTAGTTTCACTTGTTGGAATCAATTTATAAAGAAGAGTTGTGTGGATTTTTTTTTAATTTAAAAGATTTGTAGAAGTCTGGCCTTTTCTCGTCAAAATCCATCTTTAAAAAACCTTTTCACCCTTGATAAATTTGTATCTGTGGAAGTACTATTCCAAATGAAATGTAATAGTATCAAATTTTGATTCCATCAAACAACAGAAATGTTATTACGATGAAGTCACTTGATAAACAAACCACAAAATATGATTAAACTATTAAAAATAGCCGTGATCTAAACAGCTACGAGAGACATACAAATATTTATTTACAAAATTATTTAAATTATGACATAATTTTGTAGCCTCTCCATTGTAGATTTTATTTTATCCAGGCTTCAACCATCGATGGACGTCGCAAAGGCGCCTGCCTTTTCTGCCAAGAGTACTTCATGGAACTCTACCTTTTGGCTGAACTGAAAACCATCAGCCTAAAAGTCACAACCGTTGATATGCAAAAACCGCCTCCGGACTTCAGGACCAACTTCGAGGCGACACCGCCGCCCATTCTAATCGACCGCGGCATGGCCATTCTGGAAAACGAAAAAATCGAAAGGCACATTATGAAAACGGTGCCGGGCGGTCATAATTTGTTTGTGCAAGACAAAGAGGTTGCTACTCTTATTGAGAATTTGTATACGAAATTTAAAATGTATGTGACTAAATATGAGTCGCCTGATACTAAGGAGGCTAGTCAGCCTTTGTTTTCGCATTTGGAAAGGATTAATGATTTTTTGGCTAAAAGAGGAACAAGATTTCTTACAGGTAATAATCATATTAATAATTTTCCTTTTTCTATTGATAATGTGGTTCCTCAACTACATCTTCCTTCATTATCATTAATTATATGTCATCAGCAATGGATCTTCAACTGAATACAGTGTTGTCAAATTTAAAATTATAGAGGGTGTAGAGCTGTGTGCACGTTGAGGAGTAATGAAGAATGAAAAAGTTTTGTATTTCGTGCAAAATTCTTTAATAAATATCAGTGCAAAGCGCTTTCGGCCGTGGCCATCATCAGTGCAACCTGAAAGTAAGGAAAAACACTTTCTGAAGATACTGGAAAATTTAATGAAAGTTTGGAAATTTTGGAAAATTTGAAAATTTTAAAATTTTTTGAAAATTATCTGAAATCTTAGAAAATTTAATCTATATCAATTTAAATTATTCAAAAGGAAGAAATTAATTACTAAAGAAAGTAAATTTACTCACTTCGTCAGGTTTGTACAAAGAGTCTTCTCGTTGAACATATAGGTGTAAAGGAACGAAACATCACATTACAAATTAAAATAACACATTAAAATATCGGAAGATCTTTGGTTTTTTCGCTGGTGCACTATGCAAAGGCTGTGTCCTCTCAAATTACAATCACATCGAAAGATGTTTTTTAAGTTTAAGTTAATATTTCTTTAAATTTGTGGAAGACCAACAAGTGATGAATGATGTGCAGCCATTTTGTGTATGGTCGCACGTTTTTGATTGTGGTTTCCCTTTAGAGTGACACATGACAAGTAAGTCAGTGTAGCTGACAAGAGCGGGAAGTTCGAAAAGTAAAAGCTTATAAGACCCAAAACCATTACCAACGTTTTAAAAACAATATTTGGAGATTTAAGATGTTTATAGTGTAAAAAACTTGTAGTGTAGATGACGAGCTAGTCCTCCACAATGTGTAGACTACCCTTATATCATCATAGAGTGCAAAAAGGATATATGAGATACAATTGAAATAATGAAAATTTTTGAGTAAATAATTGAATAAATTGACTTAGTTAAGATCATCTATTGGTTTTTTGATTTAATTTAAAAGACGTCTGTGTAAGGGGATGTAAGATCTATTAAGGTTCACCTGAGTGTTGAGACAAGAGAAGTTGTCTTGAAGTTCATTTCTGATTTCAATGTCCTCCATAAAATCCAAACGGTTGAAGTTTTTAGAGCGAATTTCGTGAAGAATTTTAGAATTTGACCTGGGGCTGAAATTATGCTTAGTTGTCCTAATGTGTTCACCAAAGGCAGATGTAGTTTTTGTAAGATGTTCCTGTATTCGAGTCTTGAGAGGTCTGCAAGTTCGCCCAATGTAAGTGCAATTGCAGGAGTTGCAGTTTAGTTTATATATTCCACTCTTGGACAGGTGGTCGATTTTGTCTTTGGAGTTAACCAGAAAGGAAGACAGGTTATTTTTGGATTTGAAAGAGATTTTGATGTTGTTATTGACATTTTGGTGAATGACCTGTATAATTTTAAGATTCAAATCATGATTCAAGAATGGAATAGCAATATATTTCTCTATTGGCTTATTCAGGGTAGGAAACAACTCTTTTTTCAATCTTTTATATTTAGTTTTTGTTATGAGGGTGTCAATTAGGTGTGGGTCGTATTCGTTGTTATATGCTAGTTGTTTGAGAATTTTGACTTCGTTAGAATAGTCTTCTTTTGAGAGGGGTATGTTAAGTAATCTGTTGATGTAGCAATGGAAAGCTGCCAGTTTATGTTGTCGGGGGTGGTTAGAACTTTCAGGGATGGTGTGATCAGTTTGTGTCGGTTTTCTAAAAATTGAAAAATTGAGTTGATTGAAAAGTTTTTTGTGAATTGTGATGTCTAAGAAGTTGATTGAGTTATTGTGTTCAATCTCGAGAGTGAAAGAGATCTTAGGGTGTATTGCATTCAATTTTTGAAGGAGAAGATCAGCATGATTGTGGTTGCCATCCAGAAAACAAAGACAGTCATCAACATATCTAAACCAGTGTAGAATCTCTTTATTGGAGTTAGTGATTATATGTTGGTTTTCCAAGAAATCCATGAAAAGGTCGGCCAAGAAAGGTGACAAGCAACTTCCCATGGCGAGCCCATCAGGTTGTTGATACACGGTGTTATTAAAAGAGAAATAATTTTGCAAAAGGCAATGATTCAGAAGTGAAAGTACATTGATAACAGTAGCTTCTGTTACATTTTTTGATCTTAAGAGGTTGCCCACGATATCGACAGCTTCGTTCTTTGGGACGGTTGTGAAGAGATTGGTAACATCGAAGGAAACTACTAAAAAATTTTCGGGTAGATTTAAGTTGGACAATTTATTAATTAAATCGATTGAATTACTTACCCCAAACTTAGGTGAAAATGAAGATAGATTTTTAATCAAGTTAAGAATGAATGAAGAGAGAATAGCTACTGGTGTGTTGGAAAAGCTTACCACTGGCCTTATTGGAGTATCAACCTTGTGGATTTTTGGAAGTCCATACATTCTTGGTAAATTTGGATTACTTGACATGAGTGTCTTAGGAGCATTATGTTCTAGAAAAAATTCACTGAAATGTTTTATAAGTTTGTTAGTTTTTTTAATAAAAGTATTATGTGGATTCGACTGTAAAATCTTGAAATTATTATTCTGAAGGAAAGTTACTGCTTTGGAAATGTAATCTTGTTTGTTGAGAACCACAAGGCAATTTCCCTTGTCTGCCTTTGTTACAATCAGGTCCTTATTTTTGATTTTAGTTTTGAGTTTTTTGAGCGTTTTTAAAGAATGTGAGGATATGGAGGAGTTGGTTTTCTCCAGATCTTTTTTAAGAGTGTATAAAATATTGTGCATGTCATTACGTAATGATTTTTTGATGTTGTAATTATAAGTTATTTGTTCAATAATGACATCTAGTTCTATGGCGTACTTAAGAACGTCACTCTCAGAAAGGGGTGTATGTAAACAGTATTTTAAGCCCAAGTTGAGGAGGGCCAGCTCGTCATCCTCAAAAACAGTGTCTGAGATGTTCTTGACTCTCTCGTGAAACTCAAAATTTGAAAATTTCGGTGGTTGGTTAGCTCTATTTTTCTTTAAAGCATTTTTTTGTTTAATAATGGATTGTAACTTTGACTTCAACTTATCGAACTTGAGGCCCTTAGACAGGTTAACCTCATCAGAGATGTCATTCAGGAGAGTGTTAAGTGATTCATTATCGAAAGAGTTCACCAAATTGTTGTGAAATTTTTTTTTTTTTTTTTTTTTTTTTTTTTTTTTTTTTTTTTTTTTTTTTTTTTTTTTTTTTTTTTTTTTTTTTTTTTTTTTTTTTTTTTTTTTTTTTTTTTTTTTTTTTTTCAGTTGACAATTGAGAAGATCAAGCCTTGCATAGTGTTTACATATTTCAGACCTAATAATTTTAAGTTCCAAATCATATTTAAATTTAAAGGGAACGTTATTGGAAAGTTTAACCTTGGCAAAGACAGGTGTTACTTTCTCCTTAATGCAGTTATTCAGGAACCAAATGTCTAGATGTAACGCTGCTCGTCTGAGGGAAACTCTTCTGTACTGTTCAGCCAGGTCTGCCATACTGCAGTTGAATAATAGAGGGTGTAGAGCTGTGTGCACGTTGAGGAGTAATGAAGAATGAAAAAGTTTTGTATTTCGTGCAAAATTCTTTAATAAATATCAGTGCAAAGCGCTTTCGGCCGTGGCCATCATCAGTGCAACCTGAAAGTAAGGAAAAACACTTTCTGAAGATACTGGAAAATTTAATGAAAGTTTGGAAATTTTGGAAAATTTGAAAATTTTAAAATTTTTTGAAAATTATCTGAAATCTTAGAAAATTTAATCTATATCAATTTAAATTATTCAAAAGGAAGAAATTAATTACTAAAGAAAGTAAATTTACTCACTTCGTCAGGTTTGTACAAAGAGTCTTCTCGTTGAACATATAGGTGTAAAGGAACGAAACATCACATTACAAATTAAAATAACACATTAAAATATCGGAAGATCTTTGGTTTTTTCGCTGGTGCACTATGCAAAGGCTGTGTCCTCTCAAATTACAATCACATCGAAAGATGTTTTTTAAGTTTAAGTTAATATTTCTTTAAATTTGTGGAAGACCAACAAGTGATGAATGATGTGCAGCCATTTTGTGTATGGTCGCACGTTTTTGATTGTGGTTTCCCTTTAGAGTGACACATGACAAGTAAGTCAGTGTAGCTGACAAGAGCGGGAAGTTCGAAAAGTAAAAGCTTATAAGACCCAAAACCATTACCAACGTTTTAAAAACAATATTTGGAGATTTAAGATGTTTATAGTGTAAAAAACTTGTAGTGTAGATGACGAGCTAGTCCTCCACAATGTGTAGACTACCCTTATATCATCATAGAGTGCAAAAAGGATATATGAGATACAATTGAAATAATGAAAATTTTTGAGTAAATAATTGAATAAATTGACTTAGTTAAGATCATCTATTGGTTTTTTGATTTAATTTAAAAGACGTCTGTGTAAGGGGATGTAAGATCTATTAAGGTTCACCTGAGTGTTGAGACAAGAGAAGTTGTCTTGAAGTTCATTTCTGATTTCAATGTCCTCCATAAAATCCAAACGGTTGAAGTTTTTAGAGCGAATTTCGTGAAGAATTTTAGAATTTGACCTGGGGCTGAAATTATGCTTAGTTGTCCTAATGTGTTCACCAAAGGCAGATGTAGTTTTTGTAAGATGTTCCTGTATTCGAGTCTTGAGAGGTCTGCAAGTTCGCCCAATGTAAGTGCAATTGCAGGAGTTGCAGTTTAGTTTATATATTCCACTCTTGGACAGGTGGTCGATTTTGTCTTTGGAGTTAACCAGAAAGGAAGACAGGTTATTTTTGGATTTGAAAGAGATTTTGATGTTGTTATTGACATTTTGGTGAATGACCTGTATAATTTTAAGATTCAAATCATGATTCAAGAATGGAATAGCAATATATTTCTCTATTGGCTTATTCAGGGTAGGAAACAACTCTTTTTTCAATCTTTTATATTTA